AAATTAAATTTATTAAAAATAAACATAAGAAGTATATATAAACTGGAAAAAAAATAAGAAATGAAAAAAATGTGAAAGAGAAAAGGAAAACAGCGAGGGGAAAAATCAATCGGGCTTTAAAATGGTTTGATTTTGAAAAGCAAATTTGGGCTTAAGATACTCAACCCAAAAGTCGAAACCTCATTTTTCTCCATTTAAATAGGCCCAATTCTAGACAGCTAATCTGGCCCAAGCTAAATTAAAGGAAAATAGGGAGGGGAGAAGACGTACTTAAGTCGTGGCAAAGAAGAAAGGAAGCCACTCCGAATTTGGGAAAATCTGGAATCTACAAAACGTACAGGGATAATTCCACGCTAAAGAGGTGATTAGGAAATTTCACTCCGAATATTAGTAAGATCATGGGAATGTTTGTAAAGGAAGATAACAAGTAGATGTTCTTTTGTTTCATATATATATATATGAATGAAATGATTTTTTTTACTATTATTTTATTGATATAATTATTTATGTTACCATATTTGATCATTACGTAGTTTTAATTGTACCATATTGTAAAACATCAATCATACCGCCTTAAGAGGTTCTCCTTGCACTTTAGAATGCCTTTCTGCGTTATTGGTTTACATTGTGCACTCTGACTACATAAGCCCTTTTCTATTTATTTATGTTATAATTTCCTTTTATATCTAAAAAAACTTTTCATTGTTAAATACATTAAATTTTGGACATAAAGTTCGTAGCAACATACTTTTTGAGGGTAAAGAGAACAATATTGTGACCTTCATTCCCCTTGTTTTGATAATCCATCTTTCCCATTACCTACCACATGAAACTTTATTAATTAATTAATGTTATTAACTTAGAAAAACAGAAAATAAGATGTAGGAAAGACAAATTGTCCTTTAAAAACGTTTGATTTTGAAAACTAAAATTGGTCTTAGAAAGCCCAGCAGAAACCTCAGCTTCGTTATAAAGTTATTTATGTATTTTTACATTTTAATAGTATAATAATAAAAGAATAAAAATATCATTTTAAGTATTTATTTTCCCTATCGTAATTCTTAATCCATAAAGTATTTTTTCCACCTATTTTGAGAGAAGAAAGTTTCTTTATATTAAACTCAATTAATAACTTTTCATATATCAATTTCTTACCAAATGCAATAAAATTAATTACCTAACAAAATTCTAACAAAATTTTATTATAAAATATAAGAACTTTTAATACAATACTTTTTTAATCACTTTCTTAATAAAATTTTTTTAGTAAAGTGTCTCTAACAAATGAGCCCTAAGCAGGGAGTGGGAAAATCAATATGGCTTTAAAGTTTAAAATTAAGGGTGAGCATTTATAGGTACAAGCCAAGTATAAGTTATATTTGATATTTGATATAAAAATTTTTAGGTGTAACCTTTTAGATTTAATATCTATTAAAATACTTGAAGACCTATATTTAGTACTTAACCCAATAACTACTAAGTAATTTGTAAGTATATATTTATATATTTGATTTAGAAAAAGAAAAGGTCTACTATGAGATACTATTATCACCTATGTTATGTATTTGGTTTAGAATTTATTATTTATATGAATTGTTATTACTATGCATGCAATTAGTTTAACTTATAGTCTTTACTTAACTTTTATTTTTATTATTTTTATTTTTAAAAATTATTATTATTATATGAATATT